CCCATACCCCACCCTATCCCCAACCGGACTCTCCGCCCTCCGCCCCACATACCCATTCTCCTCCAACACCTCACCCAACGCACTCCTCGTACTACTCTCAAACTGTATGCCAAAACCGCCGCCAGTCCGCGACATGGCCGTTGCGGTGCACAGCCAATTCTGTGTTGCGGCGGCTACGCGGCTTACGGTTGTGGTACCCGGTGGCGTGCGGCGGGCGGTGAGGAGGGAGAGGGCGGCGAGCGGTTTTTTTAGCTTGGTCGTTAGGGAGCGGGTTAGTTGGAGGGGGGTGCGGTGCCGCGGTTTGGGTCCCGGTGGTGGTGCTGGTGGGGTGGTGGTGTCGGGGGGGATGGGCGTGCTGGTTTGGGGGCTGGCGAGTGTGGTTGTTAGGGGGGCGGGGAGGGTGAGCGTTATTGTTGGTGTTGGTGGTGGTGATGATGGCTGTTTGCCGTCGGTGGGATAGGCGGATTGGGCTGTTGAGGTGGATGAGGTTGAGGCTGAGGTGGAGGGCTTGGGTGTGTCGACTGTGGATACCGAGATGGAGTTTCCTAGGGGTGTAGAGGGCGTGGTTGGGTCGTTGAATGCAAGACTTGTGAGTCTGCGTCTGATGTTTAGGGTGTTGCTGGGAAGTAATGTTGTTAGAGTCAAGCTGGAAGACAAAAGCAGTAGTGGGGAAAGAGGAGGATGTATAGGGGGACTAACAGTGGTGTCTTCGTGTCGGAGTCACGATGAGGAGTGTCTACTGCCTGAAGAAGTGGTGATGGCGTTGAGTTTGTGCGAGAGGGTATCGGAGTAGACAGCTCTAATCGGCGAGGTTGTTGCGGAGATGGTGATGGCAAAGGCGAAGTGATTGCTGAGTTGGTGACAAGCAACCGGTTCTGTGCTTCGCCATCTTGACGAACTGGCACCCGCTGAGCTTGTGGTGACGGATATTGACGAGCTCTCAGCGAAGCTGGGTCTTCCACAAGACGATGCTGCTGCTGACTCGAAGAAGACGAAGCCCGTGATGATGGAGGTTGGGAAATTCTCAGCGAGCCAGAGCCTTCTACCCGGCGGTGCTGCTGCTGAGCCACCGGCGACGGAATCGAAGAAGGCGGCGGTGAACGATCTGGCACTGGCTGAACTCGCGGTGACGGACTGTGAGCTACTCTCTGCGAAGCAGACACTTCTGATACTGAACGAGGCAGTGGTGATGGAGAAAGGGGAACACCCAGCGGGATATACGTCCCAAACCGACGAGACTGTTGCTGAGCCGCCGGCAACGGCGAAGAAGGAGGCGAACGTCTTGACCTTGACCTGTCGATACGCAACGGCCTGGGTACGTCGGCATCCTTCGCATCTGGTACTGACTGTAGAAGAGGCATGGCTAGAACGAGGAGATGGGTATCAAGTCGCTGAACGCACGCAAATGGAGGAGAGAAGATGTTGAGAGAGTCGTTGACAAAAAAATCGTCTGGGTAACTGGCAAAAGAGGAGAATCTTGGGGAACTGAGGTACTAGGTCCACTGGCCCTCTTGTACTGAGTTGCTTACATACTCCAGGGTGTTCTCGTGCTGTAATGGCGAGCAAGTCATGATGCAGGTGTATGCTCTATCGCATCGTCTTTGAGCTCCGGAGGGTTAGCAGCTCTGCGTTTCCAGTGTTGATGTATTTGGTACTGTTGAGACTCAGGGTCGACCATGCTGTGCATTTGCATGTGAAAGCGGTGTTCTGAGGCATCTCGATGCTTCCGACCGTGGCGGTCCGTGATCACGAAAGTTCATGTAATTTTGGGACTCAGGGACGACGCATGCCTCGTCTTTACAAGAAACAGCGATCGACGGTGTAAGCGCAAGCCACCACAACGGACTGGCTGAAATATCAAAAAAATGCCTTCGAACGAGAATAAAGTGGCTGAACACCTACTGATATACCATCTTCTGCCCTCGTAAGTCCTTATCCAAAGAGACCCTTTCTCCTCATCCAGTCCTCCCTACCCAGGTTCGCGTTAAGGGTCAACCAATGCCGCACCCAACATCCCGATAGCGATATTACAATGACACTTTTATCATTGCATCACCTTTACTTCTCCATATTTCTAGTCGTAATAATACTGATATCGTTCCCTTCCGACCCAAACAGTGCACCCGTCATGTCGTTTCCTTCAGACAAACAAGTGAACACCACAGAACAAACGTAGTAAACTGAACCAGAATTCCATTCTAACGACCGGGGTGACGTTATAGTCTACCCTCTGCAACGCCTAAATAAACGCCCATCTATGCATGCTATACTATTATGGCCTGGCCAAACCAAAGTACGACAAGTAATTCCAAAGATTCTAACCCAATATGATGCCTCATCTGCGGCGCGTAACGAAGTCCGAAATGTATCATCCCAGATGGACCACCCAAAATATGCAAGTGCGGAGCACTCTCCCAAAAAGAAGAACAAAAGAAGTTTTACCCAGCCGAAGCCGACAAAACACCAGCATGCCATGACCTGAACATACTCTCCGTCGGCGTTCAACATGATGCCCTTTGCAGCCTCTTCGTCGACTGGCTTTTCAACTTTCTTCAAGAAAGATTGAGGAATTCCAGTAGTACGTTTGGCTTGGAAAACAGGCTTGAAATCGGGATCGTCGTTGGTTGGACGCGCCCATCTAATCATCCAATTCACTAGGCGCCTCCTCAAGCTTGTGTCTCCTCTCCTCATCCATCTCCTTGTAACTCGCCCAAGACAGCAAACTAAACGCGCCGATGATGAGAAGTCCTCCAACAATAGCCGCGGGTGTAAGAGGCGAATTGAGCGGCGGGGGTAGAAGCTGGTCGACGAGCGCGACGATGAAGATGGTGAGAAGGGCGGCGACGGAGGAGAGGACGGGCGAGGTGAGGGAGATGAGCGCGAGGAAGGCTCCTGAGAAGGCTGTATATGAAGTCAGTATTGCGGTGTGCTGGGGAAGGAGCGAAGGAGGGGAACGTACTAGCATTGGCCAAAACACTGATTGCCATCATCCACGCCTGCTCTCCATGCGGCAGCTCAAACAGTTCCCATCCCATGTAATGCAAGAAAGGCAGCGGGATCCATAGCACGCTCAAAGTGAAGGCGCCAATCAAACTACCAAACAGATTCGCGAAGATAACACCTTTGTTCGGTGCGGCGCCTTCTGGAGGACACGCCAGCCTCTTGTACAGCACTTCGTACAGGCCATACAAGACACTGCCAATACCAATGACGAGGTTGCCAAAAGCGCGGTTCTCAGCTTCGTGCGACGGGGGCGCCTTGTCGCCGCCGGCTCCGCCTCCGGATTTAGAACCGTGCTTTGCGGGGGACTGGTCGCCGTATGCGACGACGAAGACGCCCACGATGGCGATGGCAACGGCGACGACTTTGGAGGCGCGGACCTTTTCGTGGAGAATGGGGATACTGAAGGCGTAGGCGAAGAAGGCGGAGCAGTTGTAGATGGCGGTCAAGTCGCTGGCTGTCGTCTGGTTGACGGCTACGTACCAACTTCCTCCTGCGAGTGTGAGGGCGCATGTGATGAAGGATGTCATCTTGAGCATGTAGCGGACGGGCGAAACTTGGGATTGGCGCGGCGTGGGGTGTAGGTTCTGGTGCTGGACCATGAGGGCGGTTTGGCGCAGCAGCTGGACGTGGCGCCGCCAGAAGGTCGGCCACGGCTCGTTCCAGTGCTGGAGTCGCAGCAGGAAGAGGGTTGCGGGCCACAACACTATCCACGAGCCGTGCGTCATGTACAGCATGCAGTACGGCTTCTCCCATTTCAACTGGTGCTGGATGTATACCGCCGTCTCGGTCTGGACTGTGAAGCTCACCAGACTCAGCGCAAGCAGAAACGCGGCGTAGGTGTACTTCTTCCGCGTCTCGTGCTTGGCCTGGATCTCGGGGTCCCGCTCGTGGAAGTGATGTGTGCTCCTTCCCAACAACCCGTCGTCCATGTTGTCGTCCTCCGTCTTGCGCCCGAGCAGGGGCGCATTCGCGCGCCCATACTCGGCGTGGTCCAATGAGGGTCTCAGATCTGACGGCATGGCCGCGTCGTGTTCATCCCAGTCGTCGAACTCGAGTTCTGAATTGCCAGGGCTGTCTGGTTCTCTGAGCGCTGACTTGCCGTTGGCTTTGCGATGTTGGCGCGACGAAGAGCGTGTGCGAGAGAGTTGGCGAGAACTCGACCCGGAAGCGACGACGGGCGAGGTACTTCTATTTGGGGGCTCGAGGGTGAAGTCTTCGGAGAGGGTGTGGACGAGGGTTTTGCGAGGATGCGGCGGAGGCTTCTTCCTCAGCGGTATGGACTCAGCAGGCATAAGGTGAGTGGAGGCGCAAGCGAATGACAGTACCGGATGGTAGGTGAGTGGGACCGCTGCACGCGTGTGATAGTCTTGGGCGGCAGGACACTATGCTGTCTTGGACAGTGTTAAGCAGCTGGCGATATCCAGGTGTTCACAATGCGATGCGGCCCCTGCATCCCCAGGTGCCGTAACCTCCGCGAGAACTCCGCTCCAAGAGCCCAGTGTCCAATCGCGCGCCAGCTACCTCCGTGCCCACGCGTCCCAGCATGCCCACAAACTTAGACGCTCCCCCTTTCATCTCCATCCTCCAAAAAACACGCTCTCCGGCTCCATCACGTCCGTCATGAAGGTTGGGTGTCGACCGCAGTTCCGCCTGAGCACGTCATAGCTTAGCCTCATGCGTGAGAGCGAGCCGCCTTGCATCTAGGGTCATGGGAGAGATAATAACCCCACGCACACCACCTGGGCACCCATGTGCCAGCAAGTGTCTCGCATTAGCGGCACACTCAAGAACCATGAGCGCGGCCGGATGTTTTCGAGATACACGCGGTAACCTAGGTACTTCGGGTTGGAAACTGGGGGCCGTCGTTGGTCGAGGGGAGAGACGTGGTGGTTGCGCCTTGAAAACTAACAGAATAGAAGGCGCACAAGACGTGTAGAGATAAGACACGAGTGATGCTCTTACAGTCCAGCCCGCCTTTGTCCATTTTCGGCTCTCTATGTCTTCGCAAGCGATCCTGCCTTTGCAAGCACCCATTACTGCATTCAGGGAAAAGACTGGGCACGTATCTCCCGCGAAGTCTAACTATAGAAAAAAGCTAAGGAGGCTACATCGTCTTCGGATAACTACAGACCTGTTTCTATACCAACATAAACTTCAGCGCATCTGTTTAGTTCCTTCCTTGTATGAGATGCGTTATAAACCCTGGAAACGTCTTGATACTCCAGCCGTATGCACCCCGACAGGTGCGTACCCACATGGCATGCTTGTGACACGTGAAATTTGATCCAACTTGGCGCACGACATCCTCTTGGCAATGTTGATGAAGGCGAGTAGCTTGCGAGAAAGACATATCGCCAAACGGTAGACCAGACTTGAATACATGTATACATTAAGAGATAGATGTCTCGCTATCTTGATCATAAATACTCGTTAATCCACCAAACCAACCAAGTCCAAAACCTCACCCCAAAAAGCCCTACAACGGACTCCCATCCAAACCCTCAGCCCGTTCCTGTGTCTCCGCCTCCTCCAACTCCTGCAGAATCTCCGGTAACATGGACTCGACGTCTTCCTCGCGCTCGCCCAGCGCTTTCGCGATAAGCTTCTTGTACGTGCCTTGCTTCTCACTCATGCCTGCCACACTGAGATTACTGACAACTTCTCGGACGAGTTCTCGCCGCTCGAGTTGCGCGCGGTGTAGTAGGAGAGCTAGTCGCATCTTTTCTGTAACGTCCACAGGCGAAGTATCGGCATTTTGCTGTGGCATACTACTGCACAGTCGACGCAGCTCGGCTTTTTGTTCAATCTCAAGTAACGACTCGGCTTCTTCTACTAGCAACCGCAGTTCTTCTTCTTGCTGTCGATCTGCTTCGTCGTCGTTGAGGTCGATGTGTATGCCATTCGACATGAGCTGGAGCTCGGCGACTTGTTTCCGTACGGCTTCGAGTTCGGCTTGGCGGCGCTTGACTACGCGCTCTGCATCGAAGGATTCCGCCTCCTTCTCTTGCAGCTCGGATTCGTATGCCTCGGCTAGCTCTTTGCACTTTTCTAGCAGCGTTGGCGCGACTTTGTTCATGAGATTTGAAGCGGTCTGTGAGCGGTACTGGATAGGTTCTCGGACAGCCATGCTGGGGAATGGCACGGGGATTAGCGGTCCTCCATCCAGATGCGGGACGTGTCCGTTGAGCCGGTGTTCTGGTGGTGGCGCGAAAGGTGACGATGAAGCTTGCCGCGGGCGTCCATGCGTTCGTCGTCGACTGTTGAGCTCCCTGATCAGATCGTCTGCCGTCTCGCCCTTTTTGTTCATTATGTCTACGGAGACATTACGTCCTAGCAAACTTCGCACGCATTTCCTCGCCCCGTTCCGCGCAGCAATCATGATCGCCGTGTCGCCATTCTGGTCTACTGCATTCAGTAAACGTGTGACCTCGTCTGGTATCCATGTTTCCGACAGCTTGTTGATGATGCAGTCGAGATACCACCTCGCGCAAACGTACTTGTTTGAGCTGCTCGTTGT